AATTCAATTTATATGTTCTAGCGCGATTTCATAACAGAAGTTATCTCCAGCACCTTTTCAAATGGAGCAGGTCATAGGACGGACTCCTTCATAAACTATATTTACCAGAGGACCCAAGAGTACCAACTAATGGGCAAGCAATTGGCGGACGGGGCGGCAAGGAAAAAACTGCCTTTTAACAGGCAGAACCTAGGACAGACCCTTCAGCTCTAGGTGGTGTGGTGTTCATTGTCTCGACCCAGTTGGGTTGAGAGAGATGAGAGAAGGACACGGACTTTTTTGGCCATTTGCAGAGGACGTAACAGATTTATGCGGCTGACGAGATGAAAAAGATATATTTATGGATGTTTCATGGTGCAATTCTGCAACTAGAGACAGGAAAATGTCGGTGTATTTTCCACCTAAATGTCAAAAATGAGCTCCTCTGGCTCTGAAACACAAGCTTTTCATTTAAGCTGCCATTCTCTTCCAGAACGCAGAGAGAGATATGACACATCAGGTATGACCACCTGGCAGCAGGAGCGCGGTACACTATAACAAATTTCCAAATGACAAGATACAAACTTCAGCAAAAGTACAGTAATATGAATTTATATAATACTATACAATTTAGTTATCAGCACAAATTTACATAGCACACAGCACCAGGCACTTTTTATACATGCTGTGGCAGTGTTGTTTTTGTGTAAGGATTTAACCTAATGAATCTCCGACAACAATAACATTGTCAATAATAGTGATATGTTCCCTTCTGTTCCATTTGGGGTAGCAGAGCCTTTACAGTGACAACATTTCATGTCAAAATGGCTGCTGTCTGTGCTGATATGTTTATAGGGAAGTTTGCAGAGGAGAAACTAGTTATTCACATGAATCAAGAGTGGGAAATAACATAAGACAAGCAGTAGACCAAATTTTGGTTTTATTTACATATAAAAATTTTGAGGTTTTCAATTCATGGGGGAAAGAAACATTTGTCAAAATAAGAAAAATGAGGGGAAAGGAGTAACATTTTGTGTGTTATTAAAAATGTCCCTGCTTTCACAAAGTCACATGATACCTTAAAGTAACAGCGGGAAGCTACTTGACACTTTGACACATCCGCTTAGAACCGCACTCCAACATTAATGGCTCCAGCGCCTGGCAGCTGGGCCTAATCTCACAGACTGAAAACATGGCAGTGACAGCAAGTATCTCGAGCATGCTCCCCTGCGAAGAAGATTCTGAGCGACGTTTCTGGCTGCGTTCCACAAAACACGTAAGACACGGTGGCTCAGTTCAGCTGGTGGTGTCCACCGTTACCCCAGTCCGCTTTGGTTCTCAGGGTGGAAGCAGCCATGTTTGAGTGTTAAATGTTGAAGGACGTGAAGGCATCTAGACAGGGGCAGCAGCATCAGTGAGTTCAGACTTCACTTCCTTGTATAAAGCAGTACCGGGTTGCCGCCCTCGGGCCTACTCGTCGTCCTTCCCTCCAGTTTTACTCAGCTGCAACACAAGAAAACAGTAAGGCATGGCAGTGCGTGAGGGATTCGAAATATGCTTTAACTTCGGTGGTTTTTACTTACATGCTGGAGGATCGGGAAGTGACGATGGCAAAGGAGAAAAAGAACATGGAGAGGTTAATGATGAATGACACTTCAGGTTTGATTAAGTGCAGGTAAATGGAAGAAAAGGTTAAATGCACCTACTTTGATAACATCAACCCAGTTCCAACCTCTTGGCAGTTCCCCTTTGTTATCTGAAAGAGAAAATCATAATGACAGGCACTGTTATCTGTTAGCATTAGCCGTGTTTCCATCCAAATGTGTTGGAAATTTGAACCAAAGTTCGAGTAAATCAAAAAAAGACAATGCGAATGACTGCTTGTTTTCCTTCCACTAGTGATTATTAGGAGTTTGTTCAGGAGATAAGCAGTAGGTGGCGCCAGTTGTCCAGTCGAAAAACAGAAGAAGAGGCCGCAAGATGACATAACGTAAAAGCAGGTGTTGTTTACTAGCCTGGTGTGGCTACATGATTTGACAGATAATGGCAGGTCTCAATAAGAGGCCTGGTCTGGATTTGATGGAAATTCTTTGGATGTATAAAACCTCTTAAAGCTGATGAGATTGCCAACACAAATATAAATGTTCAAACTTTTGTCAGTATGCTACACATTGTCAGATTCTCCACAATTCAAGCCTTCAGTTCACTTTACAGAAATCATGAGCACCAAAGTATCGAATGATCAAATGAATGAATCTTAATTGATCTATTATCTGATAGAAGTAACATTCATACTGGTTTAAATAAACAGAGTATTTCCTATCTTTGCTGAGCAAGAGTTTTGTGCATTAGGAATTAAAGGCCTGTTCCATATAAAGGCAGGTTGAGTTCAGTGATTGAAGCAAATAAAAGCCCAGGCTATTCATTGATGCTCCAGTCCAAGCTCAAATGGTGAAAAACGATGAGAAACTGGAAAGATGACATTTCTGTTCATGCATTAATGTGAAGAAGGTTCCATCAGATCTGTGTGGAGAGATCATGGATGTTTTACAGAGCCATGGGAGTGAAGAGGAGACTGTCAGAGAGGAACCAGCTCATCAGCCATGAGTTAAATGTTCACTACGTCAGAATTTATCCAGAAAAAAAAATTTCCATCTCCCATTAGGAGCATTAATGCTTTTTAGAAAAGGGACAAAACCATCAACCTTTTCTAACGCCATACTTCAAAATGCACACAGAAATGCGCTGATGAAAGCATGGCTACTGACTTTGCTATATGAGCACTGTTGAGAAAGTCTGCCTCATCTCATTTATGGAGATGATTTCCCAGTGATGGTTAATAACAGCACTAACTGAGTCTATGTTGTTTCCTCCACTGTGGCACACATCAGTGACCACAGAGAGCTGGAGCTTTACACTGGACATATCTTTGTGAGGGTTTCTGAAAAGCAGCAGACTTCTTCAACTTAACTTCAGTTGTCTTCACTCTTAATCTGCGCAACCATCAGGAGAGACCAGTGACACATGACGAGCTGCTAGCTGCTCTTTGCTACTGCTAATGTATGGTATTTGTAGTTTATTAGCTAAAACATAGAAAGCCACCAATATGGCCCTTAATAATGGAATATGTCTGACTGATGTACCTGTTCTGCTGATGATCCTCCTCTTCTGAGCTTTGGTCAGCTGCTCCTTCTTGTCCTTTTTCTTCCCCGCTGTGGTGGTGCTCGTCATATCACTGCTAGACGTCAATGTCTGCAACAACAAGAAATAATCAGTAGTTGCTTCAGGGTTTCTGCGGGGTTCAATTTAAGACTTTTTAGGACCATTATGAATGCAATTTAAGACATATTTTACATCCATCCTGGGAAAAAAAGTAAAAAGGATATGAAGGAAAATCTGTATTGGTTCCAGATTGGTTTGTTACAGCATGATCAATATTCATTTTCCCAAAAACACTTTCAAAAGTAAGACTAGAGAAACTTGCAACTTTATACAAGTAACGTTCCATATGTAATTGTATTGTCTTTGGTGCAGTTATTGTGATATATCTAGCCATAGTGCTGGGATTTTTACTTCTTTAAACCTTCCTTAAATGGTAACAGAAACTGGTCTACAGTGTTTCCAGCAAGTCTTTGACATTTGTAATGAAGGGAGAAACAAAGAGAAGCCGGTTGAAGGAAGATGATATCACACAATGCTTGACTGACAAGAGCTCTGGGGTCGGGACACACAGCGATCAGCGCTTGGTACCAAAAATGGAGCCAAGACACGGCCCTCTGCTCTGAAACTGCACTGATGTACTGAGTCAGAGTGGTGAAACATACTGACCACTGCAGTGACTACAGGCTTGTGGTTCTCCATGAGGGCCTCCTGGTTTTCCTTGGCCCACTCGAACAGAGTGTACATCATGGCAGTGCCCAGGTTAGCCTCCACCTGCTCCTCCAGCTTTGACAGGATCAGCTGCTTCGTCTCTGCAGAGCTGTTAGAAACAACACAACGTCACACAACTCGATATTCCACTAAGTCCTACACACTGGACCGTCAAGGATTTATTCAGACCAAACCAGAGTTAGTGGCAGTTGTAAGAACAACTTTTTGCAAGATTTATTTTGTTTCTGTTATGTTTGAATGAAGTGTGTTTGAAGGTAAAATTAGTGTTTTTATTAATGGAGTCTGGTGGGCCGTAGCGCTGTTGCATTTGTTGTTGTTGAATGCGTTTAAAAAGCTTTTTTCTGGTGTCTGGTCAAAACTTCATGAGGGGGTGGGGGTTACATTACTCATGACCTCAGTATTTCTGATATCCTGGTTCCTGCCCTGATACACTGCATTGATTTCCAAACAAAAATGAATCCCATCAGAATTATTGGAAAGAAAAAAAGACGTACGCACTCACTCGTGAAAGATTCTGCACATAGATATTGCTACTATTGCTTGGAACTTACATTCTGTTGTTGAAAAAGGCATCAAGGCAGATTTGTGGGGCTGCCTCAGGATATGTCTCTGGCCATGTGATGTCCAAGATGAACGCTTTGGTGTCCTCGAGGTCTCCTATCTGAATCAGAATCAGAAATACTTTATTGATCCCCCGGGGGAAACTGGTTGCATTAGAGCTGCTCAAGTTGCTAAGCACGACATTATAAGAAATAGAAATAGTAATAAGAATGTTAAATGAGCAATAAATTACGATATATAACAACAATATATATATAGAAAATATAAAAATATAAAATAAGAGTGTGTTAAAGTATATACATCATATTACAGTATATAACAATATATAGAAACAGGGTGTTGGGGTGGTGCTATTATGGTCTTTTTTTTAAAGCAGGCTTGGACAGTTCAGAGGACAGCACTCACCCTAAACTGAAAGGAAACCGGACTGATTTCCTTGAAACACTCATCGCCCTCGTAGATGGAGCGAAGAGCCTCCAGCTCCATCTGTGATTGGAGGAGACAGGGAGGGACAGGCGGTTAGTCAACAGCAGCTTGACCTGAATCCACTCAAAAATATGGGGAATTACACTCCACAAGAGTATGAAACACAGAACATGACGGTAACCTATTTCATTTTAAATCACATATGTAATCCTCTGGACATTAAAGGACATCCACTAAATTCAACCTTTAACTTCCTGGGACCGATGAAAACACTAAAACACCCATATTTAATGGTATAATGTTGCTGTTTTATGGATAGAACAGACACTGAATGGTTTCGAAGACGTTTTGTATTTATAAACGGTCCTAACTTTCGGTTTATGAGTCGCGTTGCCTTACCTGGGATCAAAACCCTTAATTTGGCAGATTATTGAATGGAGTTTGGCGTGATATTTTCTCCATTTTCAAAGACGCTTCTGAGGGCTCAAAAACAGCTAGAAAGACATTTGACACTACTGCCTGACTACTGTTTTAGCTGAACTGAACTCTTTCACATTGAATAAACGTTGTTTTGCTGTGTAATGTCAAGGGACACAAACGCTATTAGTTGAGCTCCTCAACCCGAACTAACATGCTAGCAGTGACGCTAGTGTCCTGTAGTTAGCATTTAGCCGCTAACAGCTAGCTGCTAGCCTGCCACTGCATCATCATCATTCATTCATACCTCTTGATCCTCGTTAGCTGTCATGGTGTTCCGTCTGTTTCTGTGCAATATACTCTCTGTGTGGAGTTCCAAACGTCTTCAGATCCTACAGTTAACAACCCATTTCTACCATTAAAACTTTACTATGTAATATCTCCACAACTTCCCCAGCTGGTACAGCCAGTACCACCATGATAGTACACGCATGCGCACTTAGACACTCTAGGTGAACTTTGAACCGCATCATTAGTGGATGCAGGTTCACATGATATATCATAAATAGCAGAATACTATTTCAGAGGAGCAGTGTAGTTTTTTAATGAAATATGACTACAAACATTAACAAGATGCATTTGCATCTCATTCAATCACTACAATTGGATTTAAGGTTATTTAATTGTCATAGTACAAGGCAGGGTTGTATAATGAAGGTTGTAGTTCCCTTTATACTACTCTCTATGGCATGAATTTTTATTTTAGGAGGAAAAAAATATTTCACCCTAGTTTTTGG